GCTAAATTAATGAAGTATCAGTTTAAAATATCCAAAAAGACCAAAGCTTGAGCTAATTTTAGAACCCAGAACCTTAGCTTCCCCTCAGGAACAAAGAAAACAAAAGCAGCCAGAGACTGGGGAGGGATATGGAAAACAGTTGTCATTTCTTTGCTCAATCTGCCACCCTGTGGCCTATCCCCATACTTACAATGTCTCAGAAATGTTTGTTTATGCTGGTTGCATGGCTATAACTCCTCTCTGCTATTTGTTTCAATATAGTTAAAATGCAGTTTGCAAGGCAAACAGCTAAAGTAAAGTTATAACTGAACAGTTGTTGGATCCACCAGTAAAGGCTATTATGACAAATTATTTGTCCATGATACCATGGCTCATTTTCAAGTCCCCTTCCATCAGCCAGTTACCAAATCCTTCTGCTTCTTCTCCTGAAGGCTTCTAAAAATCAATCATTTTTTCTGCTGCCAAAGCTCCTTTCAGACTCTCATCTCCAATTTGTTACAGGCACCCAGGGAGTACCCCGGACACCTGTCTGCAGTTCTGATCACATAAGCCTCCCAGCAACCATATTCCTGTGTTCAATCTCACCTCTAGTTCCCCACTTTTACTCCAAGTTTCTAGGACCTTTATGACTCAGCCCCTCCGGACCACGACATCTTTACGTTGCTCTATCACCACCATCCACAGCCACACTTATCAGCCTCTCAGTGGCTCCTGGCACACTGCCCTGCACCAGCCATGTCCTTCCAGAGCCCATCCACCTGGCCCACACCCTTTTCCCTTCAAACTCCTATGATAATCCATATTCACTCCATGAGGGTTTGGCAGATGGGGAAAATTGACACTAATACAGCATGATCAAATTACAGGCAGGACCTCCCTACATCTGCACCCTCAGGGCCTGAGCAGTCCCAGACTGCGGAGTTTGCTGGATCAGGGCAGGTCAATGGCAGCCTCCAGCCCCTCTTTCTCAAGCTCTTCTCCCAAGCCCCACTCTGGTCCAACAACAGCTATGATGTCACTGCACCAGTTTTTCCTCTGAGTGCTCCAAACCCAGAGCACCCACAGGGTGGCCAGCAATGCCAGTCCACAGATGTTGCTGGACCAGTGTCCCAGATTAGTAGTTCAACCTGTGTATATTTACATGTATCCGCCCCATCCCCTTTATTAATGAGTTAGCTCTTTGGGACAGGGCTAGTCATCCCATACACTACTGTTCAATTTGCATAGGCTTAGCAACTTTATTAGAATTGCATAAGGTAGTTATTATTTTACATATTCACAATTACAAGAAATTACGTGGGTGAGAGTTAGTAAAGAGCAGACAAGCGAATCAAGTCAATTTAGGATGTTTATGGCAGATTTTCTCTCAACTTTCCTATAAAGACTGCATCACCATTAGCTGGCATGGCTGGACGTAGCAGTCAAGCAAAATGCAACCCCATATTGTATATGCATATACACAAGGGTGGAACTAAGTTACCAAGCAGTGACTTATTGCACTTACAGCTGAAATGTTCAAATAGGGACAAGTTGTTTCCAGGAATTTGTGTAAATGATGAAATTATTTACAAACAAGAGTAGTCTTTTACAACCATAGGCATGCGCAGCACATTTCATTAGGGTGTGCACCCAAAGAATTTTTAAAAAATTTACTCTGACCCCTATTAACCACACCCTGACCCGTTAACCACACCCCCGACCTCCATTGGCCACACCTCTAGAGGCAACACTCTCAGGGCAAGATGGACACATGACCAGAAGTAAAAGGTGTCATGTGACCCCCCCAAGGGACTTTTCCCACCATCCTCCTACCAATAGGGATTAGTTTGGCCCCCACCAAACCCCCCTCATGCAACTATCCTGCAATTGCATTAACCCGATGTGTGTGACACATTACCTCGGGGGCGGAGAGGCTGGGGGAAGTGTTCCCTCTAACAGTTTCCTCCCATGAGCAGAATGAATTTTGTGTTATGCACCAGTACTGAGTTCATGTGGCTTGTTTGGATGTGGAACCGAGGTTATTAATAGATACCTTATAAACCTTTACCTTTTCCCTCTGCTGCCATGTCTCCTCCCCTTGCTCCATCAGCTCCCCTGGGACCTGCTGCCCCCCAACTCCTCACCCTCCTCTGCTGTCCTGACTCCTGCCCTTCTCACTGCCCTCAGCCTTCCTGAGACCTGCCCCCTCCACCAGCCCTTTTCTCCTCCCACCCCGTGCCCACTCTTCCAGTAGCCCCACTCTGATCATGTGAGCTGCCCCTCCTCATCCCCTCTCCTAACACCTCCCTCTACACACCTGCCCTGCCTCTCTCCTCTGCAGGTGTCTGCCCTTCTGCTTCACCACCAGCATCCCCTGGCACCTGCACCTTCCTTACCCCTGCAGCATCCCAGTGCCTCCCCCATCACCTCACTGCCCTGCCCCCCTTTTCCAATGCCCACCCCCTCACCACCTTCTGCCCCCGTTCCCTCATGCCTGTGCCCTCACACGACTTGCTCCATCCCCACCTTTGCGGGTGGCGGGACAGCACCCAAAGCCCCTCCCCCTGGGCTAGCTGCTTTTCTGAGTCTGCAGGAGGCTACGCGCTGTGGCCCAGCCCTGCGTGAGGAGGTTCGGCTGGGTTCCAAGGCCTCCCTCTGCTCAGACTGTTTCCTTCTTCCCCTGCCGGCTGCATCCTCCTCTGCGCAGCGCCCCCGTTTGTGGCAGGGGCCGCCCCCGGCCCCCCCCCCCCCCCGCATTTGTCTCTCCTCCACCCGTCCCTTGGTGCCTGCCCCTTTCTTCTCCTGACCTGCCTCCCTCCCCTCATCATAAGCCCCTTCCGCTCCCACACCTTCCCCCTATTTTTCCCCCCTTCCCCTCCCCTCCCCTCCAGTTTGCAGGGCTGGAGTCTGCTGCAATCAGGCCCCAGAAGTCCCCTGCAGCCCAGGTTCCAGACCATGTGCCGGACCTGGAGCTGGGCCGCTCGGCCTTCACAGCCCCAGTCCAGCCACCGTCTCACCTCTAGCCAGTCTCTGCTCCCCTGTGCCCTGCTTGGTGCGTCTCCTTCCCCAATCCTTGGCTGGCAATTTTAAAAAATGGCACCGCAACACCAAGCCAACGTGGCACTGCCCCCTCCCGCGCGTCCCACATGACCCTGCCCCCAGTGCAGCCCCAGCTCTGCTTGTCCGCTGCCGCCCGGGTTGACTGCTTCCCTTCCCCGGCCCAGTACCTTTCCCAGCTGGGGTCAGCTTGCCGGCCTCCTCCCCGGAGTCCCATGGCCTGGTGGGATCTTCTGGTGGGGTTGTAAGTGCTGGCAGCACCCCTACTCTGGTGCAGGAGAGCAGAGCCCGGTGGCTGTGTCCTGCAGGGCCAGTCCACCCCTGCATTAGGGTGTGCTTAGGCACACCCGGTGCGCATGCCTATGTTTACAACCAGGATCACACCTATTAATGGGGCCTCTGCCCTACTGTAGATACATGAAAACAAGGCTGCCCCAGATTGTTTGGGGCATATTAGATCAGAGAAAGAAGCAGAGATGTTTCACTGAGGGACACAGATGATCAGGCTTTGAAAAGATTTAGTAATGATCACATTACTTAACCTTCCTTTTCACTGCCATCTCAGCAGATTTACAGGAGTTAGAGCAGGGGTGGGTGATTTTTGACTGGGGGCTACTTCAGAAGTTTTTGAAGTGGTCCTAGGCCAGCCTGGAAGGGGTGGGGCTTCAGGCAAAAGTAGTAAGGCCAGGACATTTCCATGCTTCCCCACTCAGACCCCAGTTGGTCTGGGGGTGCGGGAGTGCATTAAGCCTATTTCCACCATCCTCTCTCCCCCCCTCCCCCTGTGACAACTGCCAGCTGATCATTCAGGTCCTGGGGGAGGTAGGGCACAAAAAGCCTCTTGCTCTCTGCCCTCCAGTGCACTGTGTTTAGAGTCAACTGCCAGGGTTGACTAAATACCACATGCTCAGCCCATCCCTAGGCCCTCATTAGATGAGGGAATAGCATGGCCACTGCAAGCCAGATCAACTGGGTTTGTGGGCTGGATCCAGCCCATGAAGGCCCTTTTGCCAACCCCTGAATTAGAGCTTCCTACTGTAGTTTCAAGATTCAGAAACAAGAACTCTATTATGCAGTGGCAAAGGATTTACCTCAAGGTAGTTTGTTAGAAGAAATAAAAAAGTCCAACTGAAGTAGACAAACACTGACAACCTTAAACCATGTTTAATGGGTAGATGCAGTATGCAGAAACAGGATTAAGAATGACCAAGTAAGTAATTACATGGTCAGCTGTACAAATCAAACTCATGCATATTAGCATGACAATGCATTATAAAGCTTTAAACAAATGTCATCAGTATTGCTACTTGTACAAGATTTTCGGGATAAACACCACAAGCTAGAAAAAAAAAATGAGATGTTTGCTGAGCAATAAAAATATCCCTGAGTAGGAACAGTCCATTGCAAGTCTACCCCTGCATAGGTTAAGGAGGCTCATATCAGGCCAACTTCCTGAATACCTATAGATTTACTAGGAGCAGCTACAAGTTGGCTATGACCATTGTAACTTGTGTGCAAAAAGCTATCCAAGGCACATTGGGGAAACAGTTATACGTGGCTGAGGAATAAATGTGGGAAGGCTCTGTTCATTTATACATGCAATTAGTGAATAGGTGTTCAAGCGTGCACACAACATCTTACACTTTGAAAACAAAGCCCTTGAAAATATTAAGTTTAAAGGAACATCATGAAGTAGGAAGCCAGTATAGTAAAAAATGTCTTCTGGATCCATCTTGTACTTGCTGTGATGTAGAAGTCTAGTTGGACATTATATAAAGAGAAAGCAAGAGTCCATTTAACTTATGGCCAAGCTCAACAGAACTGAAGCCATGTGTTAGAAGCTTCTGTGATTGAGAAAGTTCTAGTTGACAAAGGTAACAGGAAACTTAAATTCTGAGATTGTAAATGGATAGAAAAAGGGGGATTTGCCATTGGTCTACTACAATTATATCAAAAATTCTGAGATTGTAAATGGATAGCAAAAGGGAGATTTGCCATTGGTCTACTACAATTATATCAACTGAAAACAGAACTGCTAAGCTACTTAAATTGAACATTCTCGAAAGTTACAAGATGCACAGAATAAGTAAGTTCTAAATGAATGAAGACAGGATTTACAAGCAAGAAAAGAAACCTTTAAACTACTTTAGAAGCACCTGAACATGACAACTGGAAATTCATCCTGTAACTCAGCTGACCCATTTGGTATACTTGTTTATCACAGGCTCTGGATACCTTTCATTTTCTAACAATGGAGGTAGTCATCATAGGTATGTCCTCCACAGGAAGTTATTTACACACAAAACATGATTTGTCTTTTTCTTTTAAGATTTAGCACTTCACTCCTTTAATTGAAGCATAAATCTTTTCTGCTAATACTTAACAGCAGTTCCTTGATTTATATACGAGATACTACACTCAGTGTAATTTAAATAGCATTTGAAACATTCCAACAGGAATCATAGCATCAGGAGAAGCCACTTGCTTCTCTTACATCTCCACACACACCTGCTTACGGTCTGTGCATTTAGTGCACAGCTGTACAATGCTAGGTCCTCTATTTTAATGCCTGTTATACAACACATTGAAGTTTTGTAATGAGGACATGGAAAAGCACAGTACATTTTAGTCTATAGGCTGTAATGGTTTAAGGCTTCTTGCAGTTTTCAGGTTGCTTAGTTGCTATAAGATGAGAAAATCCCACTGACACTTGTCATTGGTGTCCAGACTAGTCACGTAGACATAAGAGTAGTCTGCTAGAATTACAGATGGGCTAGGAAGTCAATAGCAAGAGCAGTTAGTTGGCCACAGCTGGAGGCCCTTCTGGCAGGAGGGATGCAAAGAAAGTCTTGAAAAAAAGCCATGCTGTGTTCATAAAGGAAGGTCCATCCTGCAGATTTTCTGGTAAAGCTCTTCCTTCATCAGGAATAGCCTCAGGTTCACCTTCTTCACCTGCATTTTCCTCCTGCCAAAGTGAAAGTGGGATGTTTGTTTTACCAAAAGTGAAACCAATTCCTTTCTAAAAGTACTATTTTAATTTTCAATTGAAGAGTTTTAATGACTCATTAGTAGCCTGACCGTACACATTGCTGTATTTCAGTCCTTTGTTTTTAGCTCCTATCCCAGAATTATAGTTCAGAGACTACACAGCTGAAATACAGTAAAGCCACCCAACCATTTTCATTTTAGCATAGGACCATACTGAGTGAAACTACTGACACACATGTAGAATAGTGATAGAAATGTAGCCGTGTTAGTCTGGTGCATGTAGCACTTTAAAGACTAACAAGATGGTTTATTAGATGATGAGCTTTCGTGGGCCAGATCTGAGGAAGTGGGTCTGGCCCACGAAAGCTCATCATCTAATAAACCATCTTGTTAGTCTTTAAAGTGCTACATTGTCCTGCATTTTACTGACACACAGATTTGCAAGTGGAAACAATGCATTGGATACAGCAGTGGTATGAATTGAAATGTTGGCCTCTTTTCTAAATATGGGAATTGTTGACACTGTCACACTGCTAACAACCCCCCCTCTCCCTCCAGTTACTGGCTTTAAAGTTTAACCCTGGCAAAGTAAATTTCTAACATATGGTAGGAAAGACATTGGTTTCTATGAAAGCAAAAATATCAGAGTACTTTTTAGTGACAAAACTAGAAACCAATGACTAGATAGAGCAGGAATTAAGCAGATTCCTACAGTTCCTTTGCCTGTGGCACATAATTTAGTCTCCTGAATGCTGTTAATATGAAATGTTACTGGGTTTAGAATGCAAGTGGCTGGGTTGTGTCGGTGGCCAGAGTAGAGGACCTCTGGGTCCTTCTGGCCTTGAACTCTCAGCATGAAGAAAAGCAAGCTAGTATAGCTATTCTACCAGGAAAAGTTTCCATGGAGAACACTTAATCTTTCTAATCCAATTACAGTAAAACTCCGATGGTCCGGCATCTGATGGTCCGGCACCATCAGGAACCCAGAAGTGCTCTGGGCAGCCGGACCATTGGAGCTGCTCTGCCCCCGGCTTCCCCGATTCAGCCGCTGGTCAGTTTCAGCGGCGGCTGACTTGGGGACACCTGGGGCAGAGCAGCTGGGGTGCTGCCGCTGGTTTCCTGCATCGTATGGAGCCAAAATAGAGGGGCATGGTCAGTAACTAAGGTGAAATGACAGCTCAGAAGGTAGTATTGGAGTGAGTCCATGATCCACTTCACAACTGTCTCTTGTATGACTACAGAATAGGATCCCTCTCTTGAGAATAATTTTCAGCTAAGATAGAGTAGGAAATGTTAATCGCCTTCCATCACCTGAAACAAGGTGGCCCCTAAGACCATATTGGAGACATTGATTTGTAGCAGGAATTCCCTGGTTACGTAAAAAATGTACACTATTGGTTCTCAATAGAGGTGGGGCTTAAAGGTTGGACAGGCATCATGATAAGCACTGATTCTACTAGATCTTTTTAGAACTACAGTAAACTTCCAATAATCTGGCACCTTTAGGACCCATGGGGTGCCGGATTATCAGATATGCCAGACTATCGGAAGGGGGGGTTATGAGGGGCCTGGGGTGGCATCTCCCCCCCACCACCCTAGACCCCTCATAACCCCCCCTTCCGATAGTCTGGCATATCTGATAATCCGGCACCCCATGGGTCCTAAAGGTGCCAGATTATCGGAAGTTTACTGTATTTGGGAAAAATGGAAACTCAACCTGTTCCTGGCATTTCCAGTTGATGCACATCAAATATTGAGTCAATACCTGTAAGTTATTGTTTTGGTCCTGATTTATCGCGGCTTGGGGAAGAACATTGTTTGGAAGAGGGTGAACTGGCTGTCGCCTAAATGGAAACCATCCAGCATGGTGTCTGGAAGACAACAACATTTGTTATTAGCAGTTAGTTACATATTACCCCGGCTTTGCTATGTCAGGCCTAGCAAACACTTGAAAGACAAGAACAAATAGTTCCCTAAGGGCACTAGGATAAATTCAGATTTGTTGAGGTGATGGAGAAATGGCATCCAAAACTTCTCTGCCTCAATCCATGCCACCCAGCATTATGGCAGCAAGACAGAGCATAGCATTCAAGAGGTGGCAGCAGATACAGCATCACAAACTAAGGCTATGGTGAGCAGTCTGGGGTTCCATGTGTGGCCTGCAAGACTTTTTGCTTACTACGGCCCACAGGCAGGGTTGCTAGATTCCACCTGCATAGTTTTCTCCCTACGGCTGTGTCTAGACTGCACACTCTTGCACAAAAATATGCAAATGAGGCAAAATGTGGACTATTGCCATACCTCACTTGCAGGCCTTGACAAACCCTGGCGACAGCTACTTGCCAGCCCCACACCACGCATGCACAAAGCGTCGGTGAATGGGGTGCACGGAGCGACTGGTTGAAATCTACTCTCCACTGAGTAGACTCATTTTTGGGCAAGAGGGGGGTTTTGTGCAAAAAGGAGCCGTGTAGACAGCTTCTTGTACAAAAATGGAATCTCATTAATTATGCAAATGAGGTACAGCAATATTCCATGCTTCACCACATTTGCATATATTGTGTGCAAGAGGGGGTAGTGTAGAGAGTCTAGCAGTACTGCTCAAGTGGCATGCACATAAAGGAAGGCATGTGAAGTAAGATGTGTGCTGACTGCGTGCAAGAGACTAAGCCATGTGTGCCCTCTGTATCCAAAGTGCTGGTACAATTCAACTGCCACACCACAAATTCTAGGTTTGCATGCACACTTCGCAAAAGTGCCCTATCCTGAGAGACCATCTTGATTACAACAATCTTACAGCCCACTGAGATGGAGGGAGACTCAAGCAGCCCACTCACTGGCCTATTGAGGTAAGGGGTCTTGATACTGCCATGTGTAGCATGAGAACTAGGACAGAGTTCTCCTTTTGCACATACCACCCTATCTTGTCAAGTATCAGAGGGGTCGCCATGTTAGTCTGAATCTGCAAAAGCGGCGAGGAGTCCTGTGGCACCTTACAGACTAACTGAAGTGTAGGAGCATAAGCTTTCGTGGGCAAAGACCCACTTCGTCAGATGCATGTAGTGGAAATTTCCAGAGGCAGGTATAAATATGCAGGTCTTTGCCCACGAAAGCTTATGCTCCTACACTTCAGTTAGTCTGTAAGGTGCCACAGGACTCCTCGCCACTTTCACCCTATCTTGGCTTTCCCTATACCTATAAAAGCAGGATAACTCCCCCATCCTGGGTGGCTCAAATCAGGAGTCACAGAAAGCCAACATGTGGCCACTTGGCAAACTGATTCCTCCTCTCCCTCCAATTATTTTGGCTAAAGATGTAATTTCTTAGTGATACTGATAAGCATTAATGTGGATACAGTTATACCAGTATAAAGATCTTTTATCCGAATGAACTACCCTCTTGTCCCATATAGGAATAAGTTACACAAGTAAAAGCACATTAATACTACTATGAATCCATCTACACTAGGGGCTGTATTGCTTTTGATGTACCACAAGAATTAAAGTGGTTCTATTGAAGCATAAACAAGCTGTAAGAGACATGAGCAAAACAAAGACCATCACAGTGCAGACAAACTGCTCCTAAGAACTGTCACCTGAATAATTTAAGTCAACACTGAAATGTTTACTCCATGAACCACACATACTTACAGGTACATCAACACTGTGCCACCCATTACCATGAGGAACCTGCTCAGGCTGGAGTAGAAATAGATAATGTTGATGAAAACAAAGAACAGCGTTGCTGAATAAAGCCAGTCCAACCAATCTCGATTCATTTCCTCTTCCTCTTCCATGAGAGGACCCCCCTGGGCATTCATTTGCAAATTCTGATTGCCCCCTGCATTAAGTGGAGGAGCAGGATTATTTCCAGGCAGGTTTTGTGCAGGAAATGCATCTGGAAGAGGGGCCGGAGTGGCAACTGGTGCCAATGGTATCTCTTGTGACCTCTGTGCAGGTGATCTATCAGCAGAAACAGCAGCCAAACTGAAAAGATAAAGGGTTACCAAGACTTGGCAAAGCTCCGACAAGGATAATATAAGCCTAAAAGCTTCATGCATGAGGGCACAGACAGTCCCACTGGTCCCCCTGTACAAGAGGGAGGGTGGCTCCATGCTTCTGGAAAGAGAGGGGAGGGAAGCAGGCAGGACAGCCAGTCTTCAGCCCTGCAGCCCCACATAGTCTTCAGTGTCACCTGGACTGTGCTGCAGGGGGTTTTGGAGAGTGCTGTGCAAGGCTATGGCAGCAATTTAAGGGCCTGGGACTTTGGCCACAGTGGCAGTAGTGGCAGCTGGGAGCCCTGGGCCCTTCTGAATCACTGGTCTCCAGGGCAGTTTCTGCCTTTGCCCCTTCTTCCCCACCAATCAACAGGCCTATTCATGTGCCACAAGGAAGCAGCAAGTTGTGATTAGCAGCGACCGAAGTCAGCCCTGGTTATGCCAATGACGTGCTACATGATGGAATGAATTAAACTGTGCGCGTCATTTTCACCTTCTGTAAAACGCAGTAACGTCCATCTTTGTTAAGCTGGAATGCAGAGGGTTTAGTTCAGTATCCCACTGTTGAAATCTTTCAAATCAAGTTTTGCAGTGCTTAGCTTTTCCAAGGCAAGGAGTGTCAAGTAACGTTAAACCTGATTAGTTTTATATTCACAATTGGATATTTGAATCAAAGGCTTAAAAAAATATATAGATGCCATCCAGCTCCATTATAGCTGATGGAAGGAAAAGTTGCCTCATTAAAGAGTTACAACATTTCAAGTCTACCAATAAGACTAAGGAAACAGAGGGAAAAAAAACAGACAACTTACTATTGTATATAATACTGTCTTGCATAAATCTGCTGAAACCAGGACATCTGTAATATGTTGTAAGTGGCATAGGCAGAAAACCCAGGAGCCACGCCATGGAGAGGTTGCTGAGCAGCTTCAACCCTTATTCAAACAGGTAAAACACAGGAGGTTTGTATAC